GGCCCGGGGGGGGGGGGGGCCCCCCCCCCCCCCCCCCGTGCACAAATTTTTGTGCACCGGGCCTCTAGTATATATATATCTGAAGAGTAGTCAAAAATGGAGATGAATATCTGTGAGATACTTAGGTAAAGACAGTAAGCAAAGGCATGATCTTGATGGGATTATCAAGGAACAGAAAAGAATAAAAAGAGAGCTTAGACCTAAATCTTCAGGAACTCCCAATATTTGCAGAACAGAAGATGAGTCTGCAAAAGACTTTTCTTTTGTAAAGGAGGAAAATCCAAGAACTAGGAGGACGATCAAGATAATTGTATCATGAATGCCAAGGGAAGAAATAGCATTTCAAGCAGAAGCAAGTGTTCAACGAAGCCAAATGCTGCTAAGAGATCAGGTAAAATGAGGACGAGAAATGTCCTTTGGATTTAGTGTTATAAAGACAAAAAATTAGTGTACAGAGAAAAAAAACTATTTTGGTGATCTGAAGTACTAAGAAGGAGATGTAGGATCAATGAAGGGTCTGGTGTATTTTCACTGGGAGAGACTTGAGCATGTTTAAAAAGCCAACGAGAGATGCAGTAGTTAGTGGTATGCCAGTGCTTCAACAGGAAACATTCAGAAAAGCCATATAAAATATAGAAATCATCTTTTTGAAGGCAGCATAAAGGTACCAATAAGAACCGGAGGGACTAAAACTCCAGAGAGGAAATCTTACAGAGGTGAGCTTTCTTCTTATATCCTGGGTACATTTGCTGATTCTAGGTATGAGCAGGAAGCTGAAGTTCCAGGCTTTGCACCAGCAGAGGAACAACTGACAGGGGACAGAGAAAGCAACAGAGATAGACCAGTTCTAAATATGAAAGGTTAAAAAAAAAAAACAAATTAAAAAAAACACAAATTAGTATCTTCATGACCTTTGGATTTCTTAAATAGGACACAGAAAGTACTAGCCATAAAGGAAAAATATTGATAAATTGGACTACATTAAAAATTTAAATTTCTATTCAACAAAAAGACACTTTAAAAAGTAAAAAAAGAGCCCTGGACAGTGTGGCTCAGTTGCTTGGAGTGCCATTCTGTGCACTGAAGGGTGGTGAGTTCCATTCCCAGTCAGGGCACATACCTAGATTGCAGGTTCCATCATGATTCGGGTGGGTACCGGAGGCAACTGATTGATGTTTCTCCCTCTCTCTCCCCCTCTCCTTTCCTCTCTAAAGGAAAAAAAGTAAGTAAAAAGGCAAGCCACATAGCAGAGAAGATGTGCATATTCAAGAAAAGAATTATAACACTTAAAATCAATAAGAAAAAGGTAGTTGTCAATTAAGAAAAAAGGAAAAGTCTTGAGCACACTTTACAAAAGATGCTAGTGAAATAGCCAATAGACATCTAAAAAGATACTCAACATTAAAACTCACTCATCAGATAAACCAAATTAAAAGCACAACGCATTATCACCAAATACCCACAAGAATGGCTAAAATGAAAAAAGCCAATACCAAGGCCCTAGCCAGTTTGGCTCAGTGGATAGAGTGTAGCTGCAGATTAAAGGGTCCCGGGTTCAATTCCGGTCAAGGGCACATTCCCAGGTTGCAGGCTTGATCCCCAGTGGGGGCGTGCAGGAGGCAGCTGCTCAATGATTCCCATCATTGATGTTTCAATCTCTCTCTCCATCTCCCTTCCTCTCTCTGAAATCAATAAAAATATATTTTTAAAAAAAGCCAAGCCCTAACCGGTTTGGCTCAGTGGATAGAGTGTCGGTCTGAGGACTGAAAGGTCCCAGGTTTGATTCCGGTCAAGGGCATGTACCTTGCTTGCGGGCACATCCCCAGTTGGAGGTGTGCAGGAGGCACCTGATAGATGTTTCTCTCTCATCAATGTTTCTAACTCTCTATCCCTCTCCCTTCCTCTCTGTAAAAAATCAATAAAATATATTAAAAAAAAAAAAAGCCAATACCAAGTTGGGTAAAGAAGTATCTAGAACTCTCATACACTCCTGGTGGAAAATGTAAATTTATATACTTAAAATCCCTCCTAGAAATACACCCAGTAGAAATGGGTGTGTATATGTATGTGTGTGTGTGTGTGTGTGTGTGTGTGTATATATATATATGTATGTATGTAT